ACACACACACACACACATACACACACACACAAACACACACACAGACAACCCCTAACAATATGCGTTTTGTACTGCTGTTACACAGCACAAAACGCATAAAAACGCATCTTGGCACCGGCAATCGGTGCGCTGGTTATTTGTTTTCAATTCGACGGAAAGAAAATGGAACGGGACGACGTAGATTCTACATTCTTCAACCAGTCACGGCAGTGTGAAAAAATTTTCTGTCAAGAAAAACTCTGCTTTAGTCAATCATAAATTCATTTAACAATATTAACAATTTTGTTAGAGACTGAGATATAACAAATAAACAATGCGGAATGCCAGAAAACCGCTAACGTATCCAAAAGTACAAATAGCAAGGTCCTGAAATACATGCATACGCACTTGCAAAATATTGGCATGATACAACAAAAAATGTCCTTTCGCAAAAACTACCGATTCAAAGTACCTGACACCATCAATTTAAAGTGAAATAATGCGAAGCCTATTAAAGAAATCCTGCAGCAAACAACACTTTTATCGTTTTTGAAACAAAAAACATTTCTGCCATTTTTGTCTTGACCCTAAAATTCAATACGATCTTTATGAGCAAATGCATTTTAGACGATATGTTGCACCGTAGGCGACTTAGACAGATATCCAAAAAACATTAAGACACAGCTCAGTCACAGATTTCCAACAAATTTCCAGGTATGAATAAAAAGCGCTCGCTGAATAACAACAGTTAATATGGAATGTTGATAAGTGGCAGTCACATCGACCAGTAATAACAAGAAAAATCAGATCTTGGCGAGGAAACAATAAGCATCAGCCCAAAAACAAGTGAAAACAACGAAACAATGATAAGTCATTCGCAAAAAAGCATTCACACTTCGTCAATGAATGCAAAGAATTGACATATGCAACTCAGGGGCTCCGACCAATGATTTCTACAAAACATACATATATCACACACTGCACTAATCTAAAATATCACTTTGACTGTTTTAAATATAATTCATTTTGCATTCCCTTCTGCACATGACCAATTCATTTTCACTTTTTTTTTAAATAAAAAATACACTTTTTTTAGTATTTTTTTTACTGCTGTTATTAGCTTTATAACACAACATTGAATGAGACCCCGACAGGACAGACAACAAGATGCGCCGTTTGCGAAAAACCAGGTATTTTGTTCTAAAAAAAGACCCATACTCTGAGAACACAACGATAATTAATAGGTTTCAGAGTCGTTTAAAAAAGATTCTTCCGGGGAACGTTGTCCTTCGAGATCCACAGTGTCTTCCGGATTGCTGCCAACAGCTTCAGCAGGAACTTGAGGATCATCTTCGAAAATTGCGAAACCTTCCTAAATTTTTATTCTATAAATTTTTAGAAGCAAGTTTTTTCAAAGTTCGTACTACAGGAATCCGAAATGCTTTGTCTTTTTGTCTCTAACTGTGGCAGACTGTAAGTAAATGTACCTTGACTTCGTATAGTATCGCCATAATTTCTTCACGCAACGTAGTGGAAGAATTTTGAGCATTTTGGCAAAGTTTTTCAATTCGGCGCAATTTGTCGAAATAAAATTCATTTTCTTTGGTCAGTGCAATCAAACTTTCCTTCAATTGTTCTATCTAAAAGAAAAACCCATGAACTTCTTCGACGGTCGGTGAGCAAAATCAACTTATCTGTGCCGGAGAGCAGACTTACCTCCACCTCATATTTCTGTTGCATTTTCACGTCGCCCTGCGTAAAGATTTTTAGGGATGCAGTCTTCCGTGCGGGAGAGATGAAATTCCCTGAAAAAGCAGAACTGCTCGAATAAATCACAAGCGAAAAATCCTAAAGATCTTTCGAATTTTCTTGAAAAAAGACGTGCAGGGCAGTGTCGAAACCAAGATTTCAGGGATGAAGCAAACAATTTTAAACAAGGCAATTTGCTCGAGAAAGCGTCAGAAGAAAAAATGATTAAATCCTAGGAAAAGACGATGCAC